GGGTGGCATCCGCACGAGCGGGTGGTGGAAACCATCAAATTAAAAGAAAACGATCCTTTACGTAGGTACCACGAAAAAAGGTCTGCGCATGCGTGTGTGCGTGAAAGGGTGAAGAAAAAGAGGGAGGGAATTGTCAGTCTGTATGAGTGCGTTGACTTATTTTCCCCTCCAAATCTTGTAAACATTGACTCATCATGTGATTTTATTTTTTTTTGTTTTTCTACGCCACAGTTGCCCCTTCTTCCCTGAAAGAGTGGAATTCGAGATAAGATGTGATAATCTAAGCTTTTCGCGGAGAACTTCTTAACCTAATTCCACTAAATATTGTCTGAAGGTGTGCCTTCCTAACCCTCTTGTCAGTCTTTACTCTTTATTGCTCTCATTACAAGCTAATTTCGAGAAGCACATAGAAAAAATAGACATAGTTGTTACAGGAGCTACGACCAATACGCAACATTATTTCCTCTTGAATTGATGTTTAGGTGGATTAGTAGCCTATTAGTTCTCGTGTAGTGTTTTTTTGCCTTGTTTGAGTCAAAAATTGTATTGTCCGCTGTTATTTTCAATAATCGCGACTGGTTTGGTTTATTGAAAGCTAAACACAACGACGACTCGAAGGGGAGCTCGGATTTCCCTTCTTGAAGGGGGAGGCAACTTTTTCCCATTACCGGTGTGAGTGGTGATGACAGATGATAAGGCCAGCACGAAGGCGATCAGGCTGAGTGACGCGTTTTTTGGTGCATTAGCATCGGTAGATGGTGGCTGTCTGATTTCAAGGCCTGTCTTGGAGCCCTCTCCCACTGGCGTGGAAGCAAGCCAATCAACCAACTTTAGCCCTTACCAGACCTCTAAGACGGATCAAATGAAGGCTTCAATAGGGGTTGCTATAGCGAATTTCAATGGGATGTGGTGTGATCACGCGTCCTTCGACTGCAACCCCACAACTAATGGAAAGGGGGACGACCACGCGCTCTATTACCACGTAGTATGCTCAGCCACGGCTCTGGTTGTGCGGTTCCTGGAGATGATCCTGTTAAGCCCTGAAGCGGCTATGCGAGGCCCAAGCGAGTGTGTCCAAGGAGCTCAGGAAAAGATGGAAGGCCGTCTTCTCCATGAGGAAGATATGCGCAGCGATGGAAAACGTTCTCAAACCTTGGATGATCCAACGTGTAAAGGGTTGCTTTCCCTGTTGGATACCGCTAGTTTGCAAAACTTATTCAAAGGGTGGTCTTCGAACTGCTCAGGGGATAAGGGCACCACTAAGGTTGAGTTTGGGCCGAATTCAGACGTGTACGCACTAGAGGATCGGCTTACGTGGGATATAGTTCTGTATCGCGCGGCATCCGCCGCTGATACCGTGGCGAAGAGTAGAAATGAAAACAACACCTGTACTGTCACCAGCTCAGGTGGTAAGCCCGTTAATCCAGAATGTTCGCAGAATACGCCACACGAGGGATCGGTGAAGCTGGAGACATTAGCTGCTGCCCTTGCAGGCTTATCTCCCTTTTGTCGGGCGGTTTTGATTTTCTCGGCCCTATGGCTAGCCACAAAGTTCTGGGCAGCCTCCTTGGTTCGAGTTTCGCTGAACAGCTTGGTGTTTTACGCACTGGAGCAGTGCGAATGCGCCCCACTGTTGGTGTGGGGAGAAAACAATGAAGCGGGTGGAGGCCACAAACACGAGGATGTTAACGAAGCGGACGGCGTCTCTCTTCATTCTCCTCATTCTGATGTGGTTTCAGCATCGCTGGTGCCACATTATCCTTGGGATAATGTCGAGCTGCCGCCAGGAGGCTCCATGTGGGAAGATCTTGGCCGTTTCGACAGTGCGGGCATCGACGCCGTGGGTGAGGTGGTACACAGCGTAACTGAGGCTGAGATAATTTTGCTGCGATGCAATGAATACGCCATACCATTAGTTCTTTAAAATGGACAGGAGACCAATAAGCTGACTGAAGCGGCAAGAAAGACAATAACGAAGTCATAAAAGATGAGTTTTTTACTTCGATTTGAGGGAAGTAAGGACTTTGTAGAAGGATGAAAAATTATCCACTTGTAGAAATAGGTTAAATGCATACTTTATTTGTAATGTTTTTTTATGCGACTAGATTCTATTCTATTTGACTTGGGATTTTGTCCTTATTATCTCTTCCTTTGCTCTTTGTCTCTATTTTACAATAATAAAAGCTAGTGTATCAAG